AAGGACAATGATTGAACTATTGAAAAAATTTGAAAAAACTATCCAACCTTGCAAGTTCACATTACAAAGGACCAACATTGCATGGTATTGGGCAAAGTTACAACATGACCAAGATATCTTTGAATGAAGCTGTGTTCAATATGTGCAAGGACAAACTTAGTAATACCAATCACCCAACACATCACAATCCCTCATTGATGAGATGGAAGATACAATGACACAGATACCCCCACAGAATCAAGAAAAAAACAACAGTATAGTTGTATAGGTAAGAAGGTCTTGCAAAAGTTTGAAGATACGAACTTTTGGAAAAGTGGTTAATAACCCGGAAGGAAGCAACTCTTTGAAAGAGGAGATTAAGGCAGAGTTAGAAAGCTATTTGACAACAACACCAATTGCCGATAATGAAGAATATAGTTCGTTACTGGAAGAACCAATCTTTTAAGTATCCAAAACTTGCTCGCTTCGCCAGGAGAACATTGGCATTTCCAGCAGCTTCCTCCAGCTTTGAACGAGTGTTTTCACAGCTGGAAATATTTGTGGTGACAGGAGAACAAATCTGTCTGCGTCTTAAGTCGAAAAACTTGTTTACATAAAGGAAAACTTGAGACAGATGAAGAAAATGAATAGTGTGAACAATTTTATAGTTTGACTAATTTCCCAAAAAAATTTTCTTTTAAATTTTTGTAAAATTTCTTTGCCATATTTGTAGATGATTAATAGCAAATTACAATAACTAAATAAAATTTTATTTTTAAATCTAGCTGTTTTATATTTTATTTTTATTCTTTTGATGCATTGTTTAACGATCTGTCTTTCGATGCATCGTTTAACGATGAATTGTTCGATGCATTATGTTCAAGATGCATCGAACGATGAATCGTGTTCGATGCATCGTGTTCGATGCATTGACAAATTTAATGATGTCAAACGACACATCGCCCCTCCCTAGTTTTATCTATAGCTAAAAATTTTATCAATAAATTTTTATAAAAAATCAATTAAACAACTTATCATTTCCTCCTTCCCAAACTCTTAAGCGAGCGTGATTTTATATCTCATGACAAGCTGAACAAGTGTTGTTATTTACGTGAAGAAAGCAATTGTGCACAAGCTCTGTACATTTATTTTAATACCGATATTGAGCCAACTTAATACCGGTATTTTGGTACTTAAAAAAGCCCGGTAATACAGGTATTCCGGTATCGTTACTACCGGTTTTGGATACACTACTTTAAGTGACTCTATATTGGTTTTCATTTTTGCATGACTTTAAAGTGGTATTCCACTCTGGTTGTCTCATCATATAGAAAACGTAAAGGTTTATCATTTAACGTATTTTTGTATTGAGGAACGGTTTTTTATTGAACAAGAAGCAAAAGGTTTTTCAGTATTAAGTGACTTTAGAAGCGCTATATTATTGCACCGGTTAGAAATAACTTAACTTATTTTTTTTAAAACAATTTTAAATTTTTTAACACGTTTGCTGTAATTCATCATATTTTCCTTGTAAAAAAATGTAGGTCGTTTCTGATTTTTTTTGTCACAATAATACTATCGACGAGGTCTTTCAAGATCGACTGCAAATTAGTAATTGGTGTAATTGTTCACTGTTTTGTTTGCAGTTTGCTAACAATTTATTAAAATCTTTGTAAAGCTGCTTTGCTGTTAATGTTAACGACTTTAACTAAAGTTTTTTCTCACAGGGTCTTTAGCGTCAAGAATAATGTTGATAGGAGAGAACAGATCCATATCGAAACTTTCTAAAATTTTGTTGAAAAGTACTGCTCTCAGATTAAAAATATCAACTTCTCGTAATTGGGAATAGACCCTTGGATGATAACACTTTTAAATGAGAACATATTTCCACAATTTTTGGAAGCTATGCTTCCAAAAATTATTCCATTTATTAGTTTAAAAAAAAACAGTTAATGAATCAGAATTACTAAAAAATATGGGATCGAATAATGTTTATTATCTTTTTTTCTTGTAATTTGATTTTAAAAATTTCTCAAATCTATTAAAAATGACATTTAAAATGTCAAAGCATCTTTAGTGCACGATTTTAGTTCATAAAATATTCATACTTTTTAGGAAATATGTCAAAATTTTAGACCTAAACGATTCATAGAATTGGGGGTATCTGTTTTTTTGATTATACCCACTTTTGCGTAGTTTTTATGAAATAAGTTAGGCTTAATAAGTTAGGAAATCAAGATTTCTTATTTAGCATACTTTTTTCAACTTGCGTCAAAGTTTTTATCTATTTGAATGGGGGTCTTCCCCCTTAAATAACACACCTTCAATGGCTCAAATAAAAGTAAGTGTACAAGTAAGCTTAGATTGCTGGTTTTCCAATTTAGAAATTTGCATTTTAATAAACTTAAAAAAAAAAAAAAGTTTCACTGTAAAACATTTACTAGATCGAAAAGTAGCAGGATCAACCATCTATCATATTTTAAATTATGAAGAAAATTATTATTGTATTAGAGAATAATTAAGGATCAAAAAGATCCTAAATTATTCTCTAATACAATTAATTAAAGAAAATAGTTTGAAAGCTAAAAAAAATAGACAAAAAGAGCTTGGACAAGCGCAAAAAATGTTTGACTACCTGATAAAACTTCTCATAGTCAACCTGCTTAAAGCTTCATTTACAGACATCAATATATAAAAATTTCAAGGTATAAGATTTTACAAGAAGGAAAAATTCCTCATAGAATAGATAACCAGTTAGTTCAAATTTACCTTGAAATTTTATCGCAATTTTAAGAATATAGTTTTTACATTCGACGATAACTTTAAAATTTTACGTTTGCTAACATAACATTAGATGGTAACAATATATTCTTGTAGTATCTTATGAACAAGCCTCCAAATAAAGAATCTTTAGGAGTTCTGTTTATGATTGCTAAAATGGTAGCGATGTGAGGCATAATATTTACAGAAAACAATGGCCAATACCAACCTCTAAAAAACCTTAATATTTTAATTACGACTTTATCCAATTAATTGTTTGCTAACAATTTTAAATATTACAATTTTAAATAAATCAATTTCAGAAAATAGAAGTTTCAGTCAATAGCGTAGCGAAAAAAATAGGCCTCCCGCAAAAATTTCATCCGGGCCCTTAACCAACTTCTCTGCTACTCCCCCTATCATCTCTTTTCTTGAAAGAAATTATACATGAAAACCAAATTCTTATTTTAAAATATAATTTTGATTTAAATAAATAGAAACTAGTATCTTACGCTATGCAAGTCTAGTAAGTAGAAAATCGAATAAAAGTTTTTTTTTTGTCTTTTTAGCTGAAAATTGGTCTATAACACCCTTTAAATTTAATTGAACTGTTATTTCTGCTTCAGTAGCTATTAGGTATAGTGAAGAGAGCAGCCGTGGAGCAGTGGTTAGAGTTCTGGCTCAGAACCCAGAGGTCCCAGGTTCGACGCCAGTTCTAGCCCAACAAGCGACATTGATTCGGAAGGAGGCGTGAACTTCCTGTTAAATGCTCTCCCGCGATGCTCTATGATAAGACCGTAAGGACTTCTGGGAGCACCTAAATACATACAAAAAAAAAAAAAAAAATAGTTTGCGCAGTTATTGTCTTTAAATGTATTTTAATGTGCTCAAGGATCTTTTTGCAGTTGCTACGTTAATGGGTAATATACATAAGCGTTGTTATTATATTTTTAAATAAGCAACTTATGAAATAATATGTTATTATAGACACGGGTAAAATGCTGAAATTTTCAATGAGTAAAATGCGGGAAAAAAGTGCTGAAAATTTCTCTTAACCCTAAGCTTATCGCTGCCCCAACTAAAACACTTAGTCAATCATAGTAGATTTAATCTTCTTAGTCTTTCGCATTTTTTTTTGTTCATTTGTTCATTTTACAATATTTCTGGTATAAAAAATGCCTCATGCTGGAAGCCTATTTTGATGCTTTGCGTTAAATAGATTCAACCAAGGTTTTACCAGTTTTTAAATAAGAAGCCCAAATAGACGCTGTTTATTTATGGTGTGGTCTAATAAACACTTTATATAACTTGAGAGCCATATTTTCATCAATAAAAGTGAATGTCTTTTTGTATACGAAGAATTTACAAGGATTTTAAGACAACTGTTTAAAAATGTGTGTTCCACTTTACATGAAATAATGACTCCTAAATTACGCATTTTAGTAGAGCTTTTAAGGGATTGATTTATTGAACCTTTTTATTTTATTTCCCATTAATTCCGAAATATATTAGTCTTAACATAACAGTCTGTTTTGAGGTAGAGAATCAACGCGAAATTGAGATAACATCAATAAATTGGTGAAATACTATATAAAATGAAATATTATCAAAAGTCTTTATTAGATTAGTCACACATAATTTATGATGAAGAAAGCGACAAGATAGGGCTTTTTATTATTGCTAATGGGCTTAAAAATTTTATTTTTTCAGTTTACTTATTCTTTGCAAAGCCTATCACTCTCTCTTCAAAAATAATCCTTTTGAAATATTTATTACAGAGTCATTACCGGACAAATACCTTAAATAAAAACTACAACTGTTTATTATCTTGCGTTATATTAACAAAATTGTTTGTTGAGCTATATATTTTTAGATATCATTAGAGATTATAAATATGGTTTCTAAAGGAGCGGTAGAAACCATATTTATAATCTCTAATGGGCTAACTAACTAATGTAGTTGGCTAAACTGAAAACCCAATGCCGTTGTGCCTACTAACGCAAAATGCGGTTTTCCCCCATTTTACTGCATTTGAGTCAACGAAATTTGCGGTTGGCCCAACGCGTTGTTGCTCCTTGGGATTTAAAATTTATGGTTGCTACGGATACACATCTTAATACATTATAAATAAATATGGTAGTGCAAATCGTTAGATAGTAGAATTATTGCCAATTTTGTATTTAAATATAAACAATTTAAATAATAGTTAAAAAAAAAATTATAATGCAATAAAATTATTTGGATAACCAAAAGTCAAAAATTGTATGAAAAGAAAAAAAGGCGTAATCAATCAAAAATATGTAATCAATTTTTTATATGGCTTTAAAAATATATTGAAGCGCAATTTTCCAAATAATCAGTTTAAACTATAATTGTACAAAATAATTTTACTTTTACTAAATCAAATTTATGTTTGTAGTATAAGTATGATTTTTTTTCAGATTATATGGATTCAATCTTAAACGAAGATCCAACGTCAAAAAATTGTAATAAAAGAAAGCGAATTCTTCCTCCAATAAATAATGACAAAATTTTTGATTATCTCCCTGAATCTATTTTGGCTACTCTTACACATAGAAATAAACAGTATGAAAATCTTGGACCAACAAAAAAAACATATGCTTATAAAACAAAAGTGGACAATGTATGGAATCATGAAAAGAGCAGAGCAAAAATAAAACACTTAATTGAGCAGCCTTTTTGTATATGTGGAGCTGGAAAGTATTGAATTATTTTGACTTAAAAATTTATTAAAAAAAAAAAAAATATAACAAAATTTTTCAAAATATTCATTCAAATTCTGGCACTTTCTGAAAATTTGATACACACCACATGTGATAGCCTCACTCTATTTATGGGATAGCATAGATGTGGATATTGTGTAGTTATGGTACTTGTAATACTTATACAGTATAAGTATTATAATAAAATATGGGAAATATTTAGTTTTCAACTAACTGGTATAAGTACTATAGCTACACATAGCCCACTTTTATGCCATCCCCTGAATTGTGTGTGGCTATCATTTCATGACACCTGTGATTTATATTAAGTTTTCTTTTAGTTCACTTTTACAACACTTCAAATATATTTAGTATAAAAATTTAAAGAAATATTAAATAAACACTGTTTTTAACCTTGCTGATTAAATAATTAAAATAATGCTTCAAAATGAATAGGTGAAAAAATTGCTTGAAATGAAATTAAATGATTAGTTAATCAAAATATCAAACAATGATTAAACTATACTCCAAATAAAAGTTATTATTTATTTAAGACTATATTTATGTATATATAAAAACAGCAAAGTATAATAATTTAAAGTTTATTTTCAAAATGACAGTTTTACATTAGTAATCAGTATTTGTTTATATTATATTTTTAAATGGCCAAAAGAACAGTTGTAGCATTCAAAGAAGTCATACCAATCACCATTTCAATAGTTATAAATCATTTTAAAAAACTGAAATATTTAGTTTATTTTAAACACAACTAACCTAATTTTTTAACTTTAATATTGTCTATATTGCTAAATATTTAAGTAATTTTGTTTTAAACTTATTAACATATCTAGAGATTCAACATCAACTTGTTGAATTTAAATTGTATAACTTTTATTGATACGCCATAGATATATCTGTATCATTTTTAGAGATATATCATTTCTTGTTGATGCAAACACTATTGATCACTTTAAATCAAGCAATTCAAACAGTTTAAATATCAATGAAGCAGTAAGTAAATTTTTCATTTTTTTTTTTAATATAACGCTAAAGAGACAATTAGTATTCAAGTTAAAACAGAAATCTTAAATTGTTAATCAGATCATATATGTATATGTACATATATATATATATATATATATATATATATATATATATATATATATATATATATATATATATATATGTATATATATATATATATATATATATATATATATATATATATATATATATATATATATATATATATATATATGTATATATATATATATATATAAATATATATATATAAATATATATATATATATATATATATATATATATATATATATATATATATATATATATATATATATATATATATATATATATATATATATATATATATATATATATATATATAAACACACACACACACACACACACACACACACACACACACACAAAAAAAAGCAAAATCACGATGTTATTACTGTTATATTAGCTGTTGCTCTTAAAGAAATAGCACCAATACTTTCATGTTTCTAAAGCACCTACATTTATATGTTTGCAACTAACAATGTGTACTTGAAGAAATTCATAGGTTCAACAACTACAAAAAAATATGAAGTATATACAATATGGAATAATTATTTCTAAATAGTCTTTACAGTTGAACAAGAAGGGTCTATGCCCTATTTTGATCTATGCACTCAAGCCATAAGTCAGTTTGATGAAGTGAGTTTGAAGTAGAAAAAAAAATTAAAAAGATTATCATAAAGTAAAGCTACAGTTTACACCCATACATTCTTAAAAAGTTTCTACAAATACATCCATACATTCTTAAAAAGTGTGCAACATCCTTTTCAATCCCAATCACATTAATCTACAAGAAATCTATAATCACCGGTAATGCCCTAGATTTATAAAAAAAAATCTAGTTACACCATTTTTTAAAAAAGATAGTAAACTTCAATCATCAAATTACAGACCAATATCACTGACATCCAAGTATACAAAATTATGGAGAATTTTATTCATTATTGCATAATGAAATTTTACACAACACAAAATTTCATAACTAAAGCTCGAACATGGTTTCAATGATGTATCACAAATCTTTTTGAAGCACATGATAAATATCACAAAGCATGCACCCAAGTTTCTCAACCAATGTAATTTACACAGATTTTGCCAAAGAGTTCAACAAAGTCACACATAGAGGCTTGTTACACAAACAAGCCTCTATGTGTGTTTCAAAAATGGTTAACTGTTTAGCTATAAAGAACAGTATTAGATGGATTCACAACTGAGTGGATCCCAATGACAAGTAGTGTGTCATAAGGCTCAGTTCTTGGTCCACTTTTTTTATCTTTTTAATTAGCAATTCGCCAGACGTCATAGTACATCAAACTCAACTTTATACTGATGATAGTAGAATAATAGAAGTCATCAAGTCACTACAAGATACCACGCTCCTTCAAACTAATGTAGATAAAACTGTTGGTCATACAAATGGCTTATGTCTTATTATTGATAAATGTAGAGTAATGCACATTGGGGGTATCAGGCTTGGTTGGGAAGCAGGTGCGATTGCACTGACCATGGAAATAATATTTAACTGACCACGGAAATAATATTTAGTTGGGAAAAACCAGCCAGATTTTTTAGTCGTTTTGAGAACATTTAAATTTATGTATGTTTCCTTAATTAAGTTCATATTATCGTAATTTTTAAAATATTTTGATTTACGGACATATATGGAAACATAAATAAACTCAAATATTCTCAAATATCTTTGTGCGGAAAAATAAAAAAAGAATATTTGCGAACACAAAAAAACCGCCAAACCTAATTCTATTGGTTCAAAAAATACGAAGCAAAATTTCTAGAGTATTCAGTTGAAATATTTTAAAAAATTGTATTAACTGAGTTTTGTTAAGTTTTCGTTGAGATTTCTAGCATAAATTGTTTTAAGAATATACTATCAAGGGAATTATTATTTTAATTCTTGGAGCCACATCTACAAAGCTATAAATGTTTTAAACTAACATTATTTGTTCACAAAAATAAATGTTTTAAATTTATCTTTTTTAACTTGTCAACGTTTTAATATATTACAGATTGTGTTAGTATATTCTATATATGTTTTATATAAGGGATGTATTTTTTATATATGTAATGTATTTTTATATATGTATTTTTATGCATGTAATTTTATGCATAATAATGTATTATTATGCATGCATAATAATGTATTATTATGCATGCATAATAATGTATTATTATGCATGCATAATAACACATTATTATGCATAAAATTACGTGCATAAAAATACATACATAAAAATACATTACATATATAAAAAAAAATTTGCAAAATTTGCAAAAAAAAAAAATTTGAAAAAAAAAAAAAAAATAATAAAATTACATGCATAATAATGTATTATTATGCATGTAATTTTATGTATGTTTATTTTATTCAAATGTAATCTTTTAAAAGATTTTGTGCGATTGATTTTGTAAACAAAAATACTTTCAATAATAACTGCGTTTTTAATGAAATTATTAATAATTATCAAAGTTAATACAAATAATTTTAACCACTAATCCATTTTCCTCAGTATACCCGATAACTGATTCTTTCCCCCAAGAAAGAAAAGTTTTTAAGTTCTTAGAAATTGGTTTACTAACTTCAATTATTTTTGCTTCAGCCATTCTTACAAACTCGTTATACTTAAACTTAAAGTTATTTTTTCTGTTGTAAATACTAATTAAAATTGTAAAGCCCACTCACTAAACATCATCAGTGTTATTGTGAAGCAGTTCCACTTCCTCCTCACATAGTAATTTAACGTTTTTAGTTGATTTCTATTTAGCTAATATAATTTCTACAGTAACTAAATGATTTGATTATTTCATTTTTCCATTTTACTAAGCAAAATTGTTTCAAATGTGTTAAACTTTTCAAACTACGCAAAGCATAAAACAGTTATTGAAAAACTTTTTTATTTATAAATAAATCATCTAGTGTTAGTTTTATTGGTTGAATCTTGTTAGACTTTTCAGGGGCTGCATTATTTTGGCAGCCTTTTTTATGTGCCACAGCGTAAAAATGACTAAAAATGACCGAATTGTCCTCTTGACTATTTTGCAGCCCCTAACTTTGTGAGTCCCAAGGCTATAGTCCTTCTACTTTCCCTGCCCTCCCCACCTCAATCCAGCACTGGAAATAAGACATAAGTATATAAATAAAAATTGTATATACTCTTTAATAAATCAAAGAACATTTGTTTCCTTATTAAACAATTATTAATAGTAAGACATTTTTTATATATAGTTGTTACTTTATATAAAAAATGTCACTTAATTTTATAAAAAAAATTATAAAAGAGCAACCTTTCACAAATATTTACTATTATCGTATTTATTTTGCTTAAAGTTTTTTTGCGTTAAAAGTTATTTTTCTTTTTTTAACTGTCTCTCATCAGTCCAGTTAATCTTAATGCCCTTTTTTGTTTGTTTTTGAAATATTCTCAAAATGACTTTAAAATCTGGCCAGTTTTTCGCAACTAAATATTATTTCCATGGTCAGTTATCGAGCGCGATCGCACCTGCTTCCTGACCAAGCCTGGGGTATTAACAATTAACAAGTCAACATACTCATACACAATGACACATTTAGATAAAAGCTGTCATACACATGATTGGTCTATAATTGAATGAGACCTTGGGATCATTGTTTCCATTAACTTAAAGGTCAAAACTTGAGTCAAAACAGCAGTTTTAATTGCTTACTCATCTTACCTGTCTCTAAATGCTTACCAGTCTCAAAAAACTTATCATAGCTTTCCATATAACCAGTTATAAGGAAAACATTGTACCTTGTATACAATTGCTCCTTCCTAGAGTTTTCAGTCCAGGTTTGATCTTCTCACCAATATAAAGGTATTGTAATGATAGAAAAAATTCCAAAGATGTATGACTACCATAATGGAGATTTACCACATGAGAAGAGATTGTATCTCATCAAGTAGATGTGTGCTTAACATAAAGTTCACAGGTTAAAATAATAAATGATAGGCTCTTTTTGTTTTGTAAAATACTTAAAATAAATTTAAATATCTTTTTTGTATATTTTTATGAAATATTAATATATTAATATAAAACTTAATAATGTTGAAAATATTTTTCCAGGCTAAATCTTGGATGACTAATACAATTATTCCAAAAGAATTTCATGTTGTTAAACATAAAGGCACTTTGGGATTAGAAATTCTTGAAGAGTATGTTTAATTCTTTTCAATCTTTGAAATTTATTTGTTTTTGCAAACGTAATAAACGTTTTGCAAAAGTTTATATTTTTATATTACCAGTTGATTGGTAATGTTCTTAGGTCATTTTTATAACTAATAGTTAGCTTACATACCAAAAAGTAATGCATTCAAATTATTTTGTTCTTAGTTTTGAAGACTAAGTGCAAATATTCAAGTGTGCTGAGACAAAGTATATATGCATATACTTTTCCTCAACACATTTGAATGCTACACACATACACACACACGCGCGCGAGCACACACACGCATACACACACACACACACACACATATATATATATATATGTTTAAAATCACTTTTTTATAATTTTATTTTACAATATGTTTTGTCTACAAGAACTCATCCCAAAATCAAACAATTTATCTGATAAGTCTTTATTTACAAAACACAATATAAATAAAAAAAATACCATAGATGAGTACCTATAAATGAAAGAGCTCAAATTTAATGATAAAAAACTTATCAGTCTAGCCAAGTATTTCATGTTTAAAACACATTTTTTAATACTTATAAAATGAATTTTGAGTAAAAAAAGAGCAACTAATAACTACCTTAGAGTAGCTGATATTGATCTAAAGTTTTTTAGCACTAGATGCAGAAAAAGAAGAAAAGGAGAAACAGTTTTTCAGGTATAGAAAAACAAAAGCTATATGAATTTCTTAAATATTATTATAGGCTAAAAAAGATGATTATATGGCTTACTTCTGATAAGCTTATTGAAGCAGCATCAGTTGTAACAAATAGATTTTGAAATACAACTGTGAAACTTAAATATTTATAAAATTTTTATATTATATATATATATATATATATATATATATATATATATATATATATATATATATATATATATATATATATATATATATATATATATATATATAATATAAAAGTTGCTAAATCTAACATTAAATTGAATGAAATAAAAATGTTGAGTTTTTATTTGCGAACTATTTATGATTTTAGACAAATTATTGATTTTTTAAATGTAAAAAGACTGGTACTTTGACACCAAATGAGTCAAAAAACTTTCTAAAGTTTTCAAAACTTATATTTGGTGACAGATTAGATTTAAGTGTTAGCTTCCTAGATACACTAGGTTGTTAGGATATTTTCTTTAGCTTACCAACTTCAAAATGTGAATGGTGCGTCTCAGACAATACAACTAACTAAAATAATAATATATTACAAATTTTTGAGCAACTATCTCGTTGTTGCAGTGACATCACAACTAATAACATTTGTAAATATCATGGAGCAATTTAGTTGTTATGCATAAAAAATTATCATTTTTATATTTTGGATGTTAATGAGGCATCACATATATAAAATAGGTGTTTCACTTGATAAAAGTGAAACATCTATTTCATATATGTGATTAAAACAGCTCATTCAGGAATGTTAACATAGAGCATTGTAAATGATTTAAAAAGGAGTTGAATGAAGTTTGTTTAAACGATGACACATTGGATAAATTTTTTTAAATGAATTAGGATAACTTAAAAGTTAAATCAAAGTTATATAGTTTTGTAAAAGATTTATTTCTGTACTAGAGCAAAACAAAAACACACTTTTTTTATGAAAGATAACAACTACTCTCCAAATATTAATAGTTTTGTTAAAGTTTCTATATAAATTGAGTTTCTATATAAATTGATAAATTGAGAATTAATTTTACTGTTGAGAAAGTTTAACTTTAACTAAAAAAAAGTTAACTTTAGCTGGACTTAAATCCAGTGCATCTTATGATGCTGACTGAATATGTTTTTCTAAAAAAGTTGGCTCTTGTTTTATGTATTCCACTTTCATTTATATTTGATTCTAGCTTTAAGCTAAATACTTTACCTCAACAATGGCTTCAAGCTTTTATTTCTTCTTAATTTTAAAAAAATGAAGCAACATCTGATCCTAATATTTATGAGTCAATTATGCACCTGTTGTTTTGCAATTGAAAGAATTATTGTTAAGTATTTAATTCACCATAACCTAGCAGTTCATAATTAAAATGGTTTCCTCAAGAAATATTCTATTTTTACAAACCTTTTAAAGTCTGTAAATGATTGGAGTATTGCACTAGAAAAACATTTAACAACAGGTGTTTTATATATTGACTTTCAAAAGGCATTTGGTTCTCATTGTAAGATATTAACCAAATTTGCTTTAGCAAATTAGTTTGTTGCATTTCTCACCAATAGATGTCAAAAATTTAAAGTTGAAAGTTCATTATCAAACCTAACTTGCAATGTTGACTTGATATTTGGAAATATAGTTTCTCTTGTTGAGTTATTAACATTTGGAATCAGTTGCCCTTTGATGCGCCAATAATATAAAAATCTTAAAAAATAAAATTAACTCATACATTTTTAAAAAGTTTTGTTTAAATTAACTGTACATATTATTGTTATTTGGTTATTTAAATTTTTATTTCTATTATATCAACATTATAGGCTGTTACATAATTTATTTTGGAGTGACTTGTTAGTCTTCAAAAATGTAGACCATGTCTTTTAGAACATGTATCATTTGTTGTAATAAAGTCAATCAAATCTTACCTAATTTTAGTAAACAGATGATATTGAAAACGTGGCAAATATTTTGAATCAATTGTTTATTTTATTGTTTAATTGTTTGAAATTTTAATATCTAATAAATTAATATTTTTTCTATTTATTTTAAATGATTGTGGGTGTAAATGTATTTAAAATAAATTGTTTACAAAACCTGTTTTACTGAATTATTTTCAAAATCTGTCATTTAGATCGAATCTCAAACTTTCAAAATTCTCATGATTTCTTGATTTTCATGATTTGTTTGCATTTTTTAAGAATAATTAAAAAAAAAATAACATTCATTTAAGCTATGTTTATAAGGAAATTAATATGTTATTCAATTCAATATTATTTTGCAATTCAATGCTGTTATACAGCTCAATGTTGTTACACAATTTAATGCTGTTATGCAAGTTTAAATATGTAAAAATATATAGTGATAATTAAATTGATTTGAAACATTGGTAGTTAAAAATATTGGTAATTAAAAATTATCAAGTTGTGTTTAGTCTTATTTTAGCTAACTAAAAATAATATAATTTTTGTTTTGTCTCACTCTCAAAAAAAATCAAATTTTGGCATAGAATATAATATTAAATTTTAAAAATTGTGTCAAAGTTTGTTTTTAATACGTGCATAAAACTTTTTAAATGTTTAGTAAATACACTGCATAAAACTTTTTAAATGTTTAGTAAATACACTGCATAAAACTTTTTAAATGTTTAGTAAATACACTGCATAAAACTTTTTAAATGTTTAGTAAATACACTGCATAAAACTTTTTAAATGTTTAGTAAATACACTGCATAAAACTTTTTAAATGTTTAGTAAATACACTGCATAAAACTTTCTAAATGTTTAGTAAATACACTGCATAAAACTTTTTAAATGTTTAGTAAATACACTGCACAAGCAAAAAATCATGAGGAGCATTTAATGATCTTCCCTTCAATGTAAGTTTTTTTATGCTGCAGATTATTACAAATATGTAAAAAACTTTTCAAAAGTGGTTTTTCAGCAATGTTTTGAAAAAAAATTAGAAATCTGTTTTAAATCTGTTTTCAAATTATTTTTTTTAAACTTTTATTACAAGAATTTGGAAAAAAATAATTTGAGTTGAACTTCTTTGCATTTTTGTTTTTCGCTTTTAAATTTTTAATGAATATTTATCTTTTTATGTTTATCTTTTCGCTTTTGATGATATTTATCTTTTCGCTTTTAAATTTTTAATGATTTGTTATATTTTTAATTCAGCCATTAAATAAAGAAAAAAAGAAAAAACTTTTGAAATAGTTTTAAAATAATGCAAATTATACAAAAGTTTTTTTTTTCTGTCCATGAAAAAAAGTTTTTATTTAACATGTTTATTGTGATATAGACGTTTTTATTTTATGTATCTGTTTTTATATTTGTTACTGAGCAACAAACATAGAAAGAGATTCTCTAATCACATCTGATTGGAACTAGATCAAGTTTCGTACAATTTAGCGCTGAGAGAGGACATTTTGGTTTTCTTTATGTGTTTGAACCATTGATGCTCAATATTGTTTTGTGTTAAATTCTTCATCACATCCACTGTTGGACCATGTTATTTTTTACTCTAATTATCTTATTACTGCTTATAAAAATTTTTAAATTCATTAGTTTCTGAGTGATTTTTCATGATAATTTATTTTAATAAGTTTAGGAAATAATGCTTTAGAAAGTTTTACAAAAGTATCAGCATACAAATTTTCGTTCAACATTCACCACATAATATTTGTTATAGGGATACTGAAGTAGAGGAGATAAATTGGTTCATCTTCTACTGAAGTATGGTAGATAAATTGTTTCATCTTTTACTGAAGTAAGGTAGATGAATTGGTTCATTTTTTACTGAAGTAAGGTAGAGAAATTGGTTCATCTTTTACTGAAGTAAGGTAGATAAATTGGTTCATTTTTTACTGAAGTAAGGTAGATAAATTGGTTCATCTTTTACTGAAGTAAGGTAGATAAATTGGTTCATCTTTTACTGAAGTAAGGTAGATAAATTGGTTCATCTTTTACTGAAGTAAGGTAGATAAATTGGTTCATCTTTTACTGAAGTAAGGTAGATAAAATGGTTCATCTTTTACTGAAGTGAGGTAGATAAATTGATTCATCTTTTACTGAAAGAAGGTAGATAAATTGGTTCATTGCGTTTTGGTTCATTGGAAAATTTAGTTTTTTTTTTGTTTTGGTTATTTTGTTTTGTAACAGAATTGTCATTGAGTTGCTTGTTTTAAATTTGTTTTTGTTTTAAAATATATTTGACATTTGACATGACAATATTTGATTACTTTAAAATTGTTAAGAGTGCAAAGGATTCTAGTTTTGCATTCCAGATCTCAACAAAAACCAAATTTCAGTAGATTTTTATCTCCTGCAATCTTACAATGCATAGAAAAAGTTTTTGAAAGTTATCAAATATTGTCTGTTAAAACAATATCTCATCTGTTAAAACAAAATTTTATCTGTTAAAACAAAATCTCATCTATTCTCATCCTTTTACTGTGACTTCTGAAGTGCTCCAAAAACTCTTATTTATCTAGTTTTTTTCCTCAAACATCTTTGGAATTCGATTCCCTCATCTTGTTTTTGAATTCATATAATTTGCAATCTTTTAAGTTATCTGTCAATCAATAACTTGCTCTATAAACTTCTTTTTTTCTCTTCCAGTTACTTCCAACTCTAATAGTGGTTGCTTGCAACCTTGTTAAAAGCAAAGATGATTAAAAAAAAAACTTAGACCTAAACTACAGACCTAAACTACAGACCTAAAGTACAGCAAAACAAAATGACTTAATGTACAATCTAAACAGTTAACATTTTTTTAACAAACAGCCCATGATTGTATTTTATAGTTTTACACCACCAACATTATCTAATTTGTTATAGCTTTTTCGTTGTTACTTTTTAATTTTTTTTTTCTTTAATTCTTTTTATTTTTGCTCTAAATGTTTGTTTTTTAAGGAATCCAGCTGGAAGGCAAGAAGCAGCTCAGTTGTTGGTGAGTTAAAAATTCTTTTAAATTTTTAAATTATGAAGTTGTTAACCTAATATAAAATTAAAAATAAGATTATACTTTAAGATAAGTTTATCAAATCAAACTGCTTTATTGGAACTTTTGGTTAGTCAAAAGCAGTAACAGTTGACCTACATTTGATTTTTAGATATTGCATAAGTATTGATTACTTTAAATGCTATCAAATAGTTTATATACTTTACATGCAATTGAATGTTTTATATACTTTCTATGCAATCAATTGCTTTATATGCTTGCTATCCTATTGAATACTTTGTATACTTGCTTACCTATTGATTACTTTATTTTTGTCTGCTTTTTGGGTTTTTTTAATACATCACAATCACATTAGTTAAATGATATAAACATGAGGTTTAAATGAATTTAAATATTAAGTAGAAAATCTTTGATGCAAGTAGACCTTTTTTACTGCAGCCTACCTTAATAATGTATTGTGTTAGAATGATTATTGATGCCTAAATTGCTTAATATAGAAATATTGGTTTTAAATTTTGCACTTAATTTTTATTTGTGAAACCAGGTTTTTTTGCATCTTTACTATTGGTTTTGCATAGTTACTAGAGACCAGTCTTTGTATTATTAAATAGCATCTAGGTACACATTGACCGGACCAAAAGAGTAACTTAGTATTAGTGGTTAAATTTAGCAAGTACATAGTTTCTGTGTATAAAAACCACAGAACTGTGTATTTACTATATCATGTTTGATAGCATGTTTTAAGGAGCTCTTTTTCTCAAAACATGCTATCAAACCTAAATAAAATCTATTTATAGAGTGCTGTTGAAATTGTTAATTTATTAAAACCATTAATAACCTATTTGCAATGCAAGTTTGTTCTCTTAATTATGTAGCAGTTCAATCTTTTTTTTTTACATTAGTTAACTTGCTTTTAATGCAACAAAAGATGTAAATTGAAACTAAATCTTAAACAGTTTTGTTGAGAGTTAAAAAAAATAAAAATTGATGTACAAATTTTTTATTATAAACATTATTAAAAAAAAAAAGTATAGGCATATGATGAGTTTTTAAAAATTGTAATAACTTTATTTTGCTAATCGCTAGAAAACGATGAATGAGATGTTAAAGAAAGCTGGAATCTTTGAGAGACATGAAGTATTGGGTGCTGATGGTGAAGAGGCTGACAGCAAGGTGAATCTATTAAAAACAGAAAATTACACACACACACACATATAAATACGCACACTGCCAGTTTCAAGTTTATAATTGAAAATCTAACCACTGAACACTTAAAAGTAGATATATTTAAAAAAAAGATATATTTTAAAAGTAGATATAATTTAAAAGTAGATATATTTTGCAATCTGTAGATTTAGTCATCAGAACTAAACTAGTCCCTCATTTTAAGTATTTGTAGGGAACCATGTTTATGCGTTTTGTTAAAATGTTTAACTTGACATTTTGCAATGTCATTCAAGGCTGGAAATTTCCATTAAAATCTTTTTTTTAAGTTGGTATATGTTGTTTTCTTTTATTATGTTTGTTTCTATTGGAAATATCGAGTGAGTACATACTTTTATAAACCCTAATGTACATGTTAATTGGTTAAATTTTACATATTGACATATTACAATAACAGACATCATGAAACTAAAAGCTAAGTTTGATTTTGAAACGAAACCAGTTGTCAATATTTCTTCTTGAAATTTTTTTAACACAAAACAAAACAACATCAAAAAAAAAATGAGTTAAGCAACAAAAAAATTTTAAAAGGGTGCTTTGGATGTGTTTGAATTTGTATATTCAGTTAATTTGAATATGTATATTCAGTTAATTTCCTGTAAGTTAAACACTGGTTAACTTGAATTTTTATTATCTGGAACTGTTTCATTTGGTCCCTTGAAACCCTCTTATTGATTACTATAAAAATTCTCCAGTTAAGTTGAACCTCAGATAACTCAAACTTTGTTAAGTTGATATAAGAAATTTCTTAGGAAAAAATTTCTTTTGAACTTTTCATATTAGAAATAAAGAAATCAAAAAGAGTTTTTTTTAAAAAAAGTCATTTTATTTAAAACATAAATAACAAAAAAAATTAAAATTTTTTAATTTTTTCTAATTTTTTTTTTTTTTTGTATTTAGATCTGAATAGATTGTTATCAGGCATAAAATAATGCTATAATAAAACTGTTTCAAAATAAATCATAACAAAATACTGTTCAAAAAGCAATTATTTTATAGTTTAATAAATTTTTTAATAAAAGATTACTAGCTTTTAGACACATTTTTATTACCAAATGAGATTCAAACTTTTTTGAATGTTATCTTTTGATTTTAAAACGTGAATACAATACGTAACTTCTTTCACTGAAACACTTTTTACACTTTTATTAGTATAATGATGTATATTTAATGTTTATGCTTTAGCATTGAATAAAGAAAAAATGCTTCAATTTAAACTAATATCTCATATTACCCAAAGTTTGAGTTTACAAGAATTTGTTTTAGTAGAACATGTATCAAGTCAAATCATTTTCCTTGGTCTCCATGGGACCAAGGAAAATGCTTGCAAATTCTTGCAAGCATTTTCTTTGGTCTCTTGGAGAATCTGAGCCAAAACTAATTATCACTTGACATGTCAATTCAGCAAAGTTGTATCCTTTTACTGTATCTTTCCATCACACTCTAAAAACTCTTATTCATCTAGCTTTTTTATTGCTCATTAATACTTTGGAACTCTCTTATCATTATTTGGAACTCTCTTATGCTTTCAGCACTCTTAAAACCTACAACCTTTCAAGGTCGTTTCCTTGCGCTTTATTCTTTTTTTACTAGTAACTCCCAAATTAATAGTGGTTTTTTGCAGCCTTGTTGGGAGGGAATTAGTATTAAAAAAAAAAAAGTGACACTACCAGAATACTGGTATTACTGGTCTTTTTTGAGTACTGAAATACTGGTATTGTGTTGACTCAATACTGGTATTAAAAAATATATGTCCAGGGTGTGCTTTCTTAATGTAAAACACAAAATGGAACATATAAAACTTCTAGGCACTATAAACAAAGCTTGTTCAGCTTGTAATGAGATTATAAAATCACGCTTGCTCAAGAGTTTGGGAAGGAGGAAATAATAAGTTGTTTTTAATTATAGATAAAGCTTTTTAAATTTCAAATTAAAACTCTTTCTTCTTTCTATTAACAATGCAGGGTATTTCCATTTTTGTGCTTAATTTTTTTTTGTTTTTACAATTAAAAGCCAAGACTTATATCACAATTGGCCAAAGAGATCACCAGTTTTTATGTTGTGTCACTCAAGCGAAACTTTTTTTATTTAAGAGTATTTGTTTTATAAAAATAGAATATAGCGTTTTTAAAATTTGAAAAAAGTGCTAAAGGTGACAAATGGGGCAAAAAGCTAAATTGTAAAGGTAAATTGTAAAAAAAAATTCTAAAGTGCAGGAAAATGAATTAATTTATATTTGGATTGTGTAACAAATATAAATTAGTATTATATTTAAGTTATTAATTTAAAATTGATGTTAATAAAAACCAGCTATTTTCAATGTTGTAAGAAGTTCAATTAAATTACGTAAGTTGCAAAAAAGATATTCAAAAAGATGTTGAATTTCATCATTTTAATATATATATTTTTAGTTTCAAATGTAAAAGAACTTTCCATTAATTTTTAAACTTATGTTTTTATATGATTTTTAATCAGAATAAAATTCACAATCATAATCATTTATAAAAATATAAGAGTAGAAACTTTTGCATAGCCCTTTTTTTTACCCTATTTTGACCCTTTGCATCATATTCTGATTTAAAAAACCCTTTTTTTATAAGTAAAATACTAATACTCTTAAATAAAAAAAATTTTGTATGAGTGACAGAACCTGGTGGTCTCTTTGGCCAACTGTGATATGCATACTATTATGATTATCTTAAAGAACAACTCTAACAAAAGTAATATTTTAGATTATCTCAATATTTAAATATATATTTATTTTTATAATTTTATTGTGTGTTTATGTGTGTTAATGACACAATAGTTTGAAAAATATACAACATTTTTCTAAACACTTTACTCTAGCCAGAAATATTTGACGACTACTATTTCTCCTCGAAAATATATTAAATATGAGTTGTAGAGATATAATATTTCACTTGAAATACTCGTAAGCAATTTATTTTCATAAGAATAACTACATAAAATCGACAAACTTTCAATTTCTGTGCATGACTTTTGTGCATGACCATACATGAACTGGATTTAAACGATTGCTATAACTCTAATAATTTAATATTAAGTGCAATCCTGTAACTTTCTGGAAATTTTTACAGAAAATGTGTTCTACATTAAAGTCACTCGCTTAAATGTGGAACACTAGTTTAAAAGAAAAAAATTCAATACCAGTGTTATACCGGTATTACTGGTATTGAAATTATTCAGTACTGAAATACCTTTTAAAAATGATTTTGGTATTGGATGCGCTAGCACTTAGCACACAAAAAAATTATTTAGCAAAAACATTTTTTTTGTTTAAAGTTTGAAGTTTGATATATTAAACAATAAATCATTTAAAGTTAACAAAAAAAAAGTTTTATGTTATCTAACTATACAATACCGTAGCATAGTCATTTCTCAAGTTGATACCTAGCATGATACTCGCATTCAACAATATAAAAAAAATCTGGCGAAAAACACAGTTTTTGTGTTATATATAATTTTGATATATTTTTTATTATATAATTTTGATATATTTTATTATTATAAATATTCATCTCTATTACAACTAATTTTATGACTCTATACCAATTTTGTAATGTGTTTACTGTATATTAGGTTTACTGTGTGCTTTTATCGTTACATTAATGATTTATTATGGTGGTTATTGAATTATTGTGACGATGGAAGATTTACCAGTTGTGCTTTAAAAACATTTAGAATATGATTGAAACTTTATACTAACTATTATAAATATTTTTCAATTTTTTGGAATTATTCATTTCTAATGACTAAATAAATTAAATCAAGTTTGTATTTGACTTGTAATATAGACTTACCATTTTAATAATAATAATGAATAACTGTTTAAGAGAATGTATATGTTTCAAAGCTCTAGACTCAGGGAAGCAAAGAATCTCTGAAATTACACAATCAATAAATATGTTAAAAGGTTGTTCAGAACAAATATAAGAGAGTAAGAATATTTCAAGGTAATAGAAGGTGTGAACTAAAAGTTTTAAAAATATGAAAACATTTATTCATATAGCGAACAACGTAACATTTTAGATAGAATAACCCAATTAGTACTTGTCGACTTCACATATTTATGAAACTTTATTATAATAATTTTTAGTATAGTAATGTTTATAATCAAATTATTATCAAATAACTAAGTAATAATGAATAGTATATTTTATATTCATTTATTTTCATTTAGATTGAAAGTTTGTTAAAACTTGTTCAGGATGAGCAGAAAATTTACAATATTGTCTTTAATGAGATTATCAGACAAGTCAGTGTAGATTGTTTAGAAAGAGGAAAGATTCTTGCTGAACTTAGAAAGCACTATGCTAGCTTGCTATATAAAGTCCCCATACATATAAAGAAGTAATTATAAATTTATTTATCGATAATTGCTCAGTATTTGATGTTTGATAGTTCTCTATTTAATGTTTGTCATTTTCTATTTAGTGTTTGTTAGTTCTTTAATTGACTATTTGTTTTAGTTCTCAGTTTAATGCTTAAATAGTAAAAATAAATCAATTATTTTATATAAAATTTTTAAAATTAATTCTTTGTTTAGTTTTCAAAATTTAAAGGGACAATAATAAAAGCCACTATTTACCGTAGTAGATATAGTATTCTGTAGTTTTACATAATTTTTGATAATTCCAAAGTGCTGGCATTAAAAATAATGCCAGCACTTTGTTTAAAAACATTAAAAAAAGATTTGCTGTGTTAATATTACCCTCCCTGTTGTCAGATATATCAGGGTGTAACCAACCAGTCTAATCTAAATTCATTGATATATAATATAAATTATATTGATATGAAAATAAAGTTATTGTAAAGCAATTTATAAATTTATTACTTACTAAATTACCAAAATTTAATGATCCAGCTAAATGGGAGATAAATACAGTCTTTATAACTTATTATGCAAATATTGTTTTTTCACTTCCAACTTTTTTATTAAAAACAGTTTGGTAAAAAAATGCTGCTAATCAGAAGAGGTTAAATAAGATTTGGGGCTTGAATCAGTTTTATTTCAATTTTTTTTAAAGCTTTCTAAGACAAGGCTGAAAACTCTATGTAGTTGGTCTACCTCTAAATTGGATGCAGAATGTCTTTTAAAGTTCATTTTTTTGAGAATCATCTCGATAAATTTTAACAGATGTGCATTTTCATTGAGTTATTGGTATATGAATGTTGTTTCCAACAACAGTATAATAAAATCATGATGGGGAACATTATCAAGGACAGTATTTTTTTTTTACTGTATTTACCTATCCAAGGATAAGAGCCTGCCATACTACTAATGCAAAAGTATAACAAAAACATAATGGGCACTAAATTTGAATGATTCTTTGAGAAATCAGTTTGCAGTACAGTTGTGAATTAAATCTATAAAACAAACTTGTTTCCAAACCTTGTCATAATAAATACATCACTAACTTATCTGTGGTCATAAAATCAAAAGTTTGTTGCTTAATTTATTAGTTTATCCATTATAATTCTACTTTTTATATTAAAGCCTATAGCAAAGTTCAACTGAAAACTACAATTCATTATATATTCAGCTAATTGTGTTACATAGTATTATATAATAAATTATATACTGCCATAAGAATATTACTCAAAATCATTCACAAACAAAAATTGAGGAAATACACATAATTGTTGTTAACATGACTTTCTATGTTTTTATATTTTAAAAAAAATGTTTATTTAATACCTTTTTTTAGTTTACATGATGAGATACTTGCAATAAGAGCTCTGGATAAAAGGCTTACTGAGGAGCTAATTAATTTCAAGTCAACCATAAAGCATCTGACAAAGTATTTATTAACCAAATAGTTTGCTTTACATTACATATTTTGTAATTTTTTCACATAAATGCGATTTTGCATACTATAGTTGTTATTGTATTTTTAACATGTGCTTAGAATAAATTATTTACTATAGTGAGTTAAATGATGTCCAGCTTCATGATCAAGAAATTACTTGCAAAGCCATGGAGACTAAAGAAGAGGTAATAGAAATCAATACTAAATTTTTATATGACTTTTGATCATGTGATGGCATAAACCATAATCTAACAAAAATAAAATGTATGTTTTAAGTTAATAAAAAATAAAATATGGGTTTCAACTCAATACTTTTTTTGCATCATTGTAATAAACATTCTATAGTTGATATTAGTTTAAAAATTTTAACTATATTTTATATTGACTATTTTTTTTATAAAAAAGTTATTTTTTAATATACTTTGAATATTTTTTTATTTTTTGTGCTTAAAATACACATGTTGTAATTGTTTATGTAAATGCAAATAATTATAACAACTCAATGTATGTATGTATGTATGTATGTATGTATGTATGTATGTATGTATGTATGTATGTATGTATGTATGTATGTATGTATGTATGTATGTATGTATGTATGTATGTATGTATGTATGTATATATGTATGTATGTATGTATGTATGTATGTATGTATGTGTGTATGTATGTATGTATGTATGTATGTATGTATGTATGTATGTATGTATGTATGTATGTATTGTAGTATTATAATAAATGAATTTAGTTTATGTGTTATAAGAAAAAATTATTTTAATAATAAAATTTATTTTGATAAAACTTTGAGAGAAGTTTTGTGATGATTTTGTTGTGTAACATTTTATAATTCTTTTTGGCATTTTATGTGCTTGATTATAATGAAATCTTTTGAAACCTAACAATAAAACAACTTTTATAAGGTTTTTGCCTTATGCTCTGATTTTTCTCTGAAAAAGTTGTTTTAAACCATAAAAAGTTTTTTAGATTTATTTTTTCCATTTGCAAACCATTGTTTATGATTTAAAACCTTATTTTAAGAGTTTTTTTTTTGCAATGGTTTTTTTATTTAAAGTAGTTTTTTATGATATTTATTACTTTTTATGATATTTATTACTTTTTGTGAGAAATAGTTTTAAAGCATCAGGTTGGCTGTTGAAAAAAAAACTGTTCTACAAAAGGGAAATAATAATTGAATACCTTAAGACCTTGATGTAAAAAAGTTTGGTGTCTTTGAAATTAGGTAACCATAAAAAAAAATCATATGTATTTACATTCATGTAATATATATATTTTTTGTTTTTTAGTTAGATGAAGTGCTTAAAGATTCTCAGGCTGATGCTAGGTAATATACCACGCTAAGTACCTTATAGTTTAAAAGTAAAAATGTATAAAAAGAGTAAAGAAATGTTTTAGGTTATTAAATAGTAAGTAGAAATATTTTATTTTTATTAATAATATTTAAAATTTTTATTTTATAGTTTTACTTTAATTTAGAATTTTATGCTTGTTTGTAAAGAAAATAAATAAGATATTTGAGTTGTATAAAAATAGTAGGGATGTGCCAAATGTTTGGCAAAACCAAATGTTTGGCTATTTTGCTGAACATTTGGTTCAGCCAAACTCTGGCAAATGTTCGTCCGAACATGCAGAAAATGCAAATTTTGGAAAACACATGTTTTCTTAGATTAGATTTCCAGTTTAACTCATTTGTATCAAATCTGGTAGCTACGGTAAAATAAGTTAAATTTTAATATAAAATTTAATAATAAAATGAGTTAAAATGTCAAATAGAAATTCAAATAAATAAGTTGTTTTATTGAACATGAGTCTGTTTAAAGATATATTCATTGTTGCTTTGGCAAAACAAATAAATATATCTACAATTTCTCCATTTATGTTTATGATATATAATATCTTGATATGGAACTCTATGATAACTTATTATATAGTTCCATAATAATGCTCCTATTTATTATGGATTTATTATTATATTATCATACTGTAAATAACAATAAACAAATCATTAATTCTAGTTTTTCGTATAATCAGTTTAGTAAAGAAATAAGATATCAAAACATAAGTGAAATTCAATTACCACTTGTTTCTCTCAAGTTATAATGTATAAACATTAATTTTTCACCACTTTCTGTTATAAGTTTGTTTCTATTAGGTTTATAAATGTTGCCACCTGTACTAAAAAGCCTTTCACTTTCTACAGAAGAAGGTGGTGCTGAAAGAAACTTTTGGGCTATTTTCTTTAAATTTATTTTTGCAACTTTTCCACCATAAAAGAGGACTTTCTTTTTCTATGGAAAGAGGGAGTTCTAAGTACTCTTTACATGTTTATGATGTGTATATTGCAGTTTGATCTTTTCAATTTTTTGCTGTTTTCAGTATTTACTAAATTGGAATCATACCTATTTGTCAGTTTGGAGACTAGCAGGAAACATTGGTTAAATTTTGGATTTTATCTGGTTTTGCAATTACTTCAATTGTGTTACTTACTGTGTTCTTCATAATAAGAATCAGAGGATTCAAGTACTAAATTATGTTGTTGCATAGCTTGTATGTACTCATTTATCTAATTTTTTATTTTATTCTTATCTTCCTTTTGATATGGTAAATTATCTAGGGTCACAAAATTTGAAAGACATAAATACTTATTATGTAAAAAAGTACCCAGTCTTTTGTCTACTGACTCGTAAATAGTTATACTAAAAAAAGCCTTACATACTAATGCTTGATTAAAAAGTTCTCTCAGAGCCATAGTCAAAGGAATAACATCTTACAAATATGCTTTGCGTTTGCTGAGATTAACAGTTAAAGTTTTAAAAGCTCTAAAATATGAAAAATGTTATCTAATAAAATAATCGGAATGAACTTAATGTTAATTGGTTAGCATGATCTGCAGTCTGTGAAATATATTTCACAGATTTTTGACGCAAAACTGAGTCATGTAATACATAACTGTATTTTATGTATAAAACATGGAATTAAAACTACTGTCTCTAACACCAGTTACCATATTGGCAGCATTATCATGTAAAACAATATGAATTTTTATGTGCGGAATTTCAAAACTTAGTAAACCTTTATGTAAATACTCACTTCTGTTTTTTCCTGTGTTACTTTCTGGAAAATGCATAACTCAGAGTACTGCTCTCTGTTGGAAAAATTCATTATTGAGCCAGTGAGCTGTCATGCTTATGAAGGCAACATTTGAACTACTTCCTGTCCAAATATCAGTTGTAACTCGCAGATATAACCTGCAGCAGATAAATTACTCTTGATAGAATTAAATAGCTCATTATATATTTGTGGACCAATATTTTCACTAAAATAACTCCTACTGAGTATTTGATAATTAGAACACATCTCTTCAATTAATTTTCTAAAACCAAGATCTTCTATAATTGTATATAGTTGAATGTCTAAAGCCATCATTTCCCCAATACGATTGCAGATTTTGCTTGCTCTATCATTAATACCCAATTTTTACTTTCCAATTTTTATATTCTTTTTGTTTTTGTTATTATTCCAGCTTGTTATTATTCCAGCTTGTTTGTAAAAAAAATAAAATAAAACACTTTAGTTATATAAATATTATAAAACACAAAATTATATATTTTTATAAAAGTGCAAGCAGCGCTTAAAACAATAAAACCACAAAACCTTAAAACCATAAACAGCGCTCAACTTACATTTTTAATCAATAATCAATAAATCAGTTCAAAAACAAACTAGATAAATTAAATATTTGCAAAAACATTTTATTACAAAATTGTTTTTAAGATAATTTGGTTTAGAGATTTAGGAATTGTGCAAAGCTGATACAGTGCAATATCAACTGTTATTGCGCTCCACCACTTTTAACACCAGTTGTTACAGCTACCTCTTATTAACATTAATTAATATCATCTGTTGAGCTTTCCAAATTTGTATATTTTTGGTTTGATTTTTGTTATTTGAGATTGACAGACTTACTTTAAACTTTAGTGTGCTTATTAAGTAATGTTTTACAAAATATACTGGTGACTAGACCTATCTTGATTACATATAGTGACCTAATCAAAAAGGGTGATTGTTTTAAGACTGAATCAAAAACTCTTTTCTTATCACTTTTAGCCTAAAACTTAGTTTATGTTTTATGAAGTAGTTTGTATATTTGTTCCCAAGGTGGAGGGGTTACTACAGTTAAGGAGGCTAGTTATTTTAATTGTGGTTACAATCCTCTCTCAGCTCTTTAACCCTGGAATACGAACCTTAAAGAACAAGGCTGCTGTACAGAAAAACAGGCTGAGCATGGTAATAGCAGGGATGTGGTGGGATAAAATTTCTTGTTTACAAAATGAGCGCTCTATCACTACTGCATATAATCAATTGCAATGAAATAGTTCTGATTTTTTTATATTTTTTAGACAAGCTTTCTGCTTCTTTCCTATTTCTATTTTACATAATGATAAAAGAAAACTTGTATTCTTCTTCTGAGCTTTGTTTATAAGTTCCATAAAATTCCAATTTTTAAAAATATTAAACTCTTTTAAAATGAAAAATGGGTTTACTTTTGTTGAACATTTGCATTGATGGTGAGAACAGTTTAAATAGCAGTATTTTCTCTGTTCTGGTTTTTTATAATTAGCTATGGCTATGAAAACATGAAATGAATCTAGGTACCAGTTGTGTTATAACAACAAGAATTAGCACCAGATTTAAATCCTTTTATCTCTTTGATTCTTAATAACCTAAAAAGTTTTAATTTTTTTAAGAAATAGGAGTATAATGTTGAATTTCTAGAAAATAATTGCCTCTTTTTCAAAAGTGAATTTTAAGAAGTATTTAGTGAATTGAGTATTAAGTAAGTACTAGCAGTAAGCAACCCGTAATACGAGTTAGTAGTAAATAAATCATTACTAACAGTTTGATATTTATTTACTTTCTCTAATAAAATATAAATTTATTTATACAGTAAGCAACCCGTAATACGGGTTAATTGTAAATAAATCATTACTAACAATTTGATATTTATTTATTTTCTCTAATAAAATATAAATTTATTTATACAGAAAGCAACCCGTAATACGGGTTAGTAGTAAATAAATCATTACTAACAATTTGATCTTTATTTACTTTCTCTAATGAAATATAAATTTATGTATACATTTTTATTTTTCTTGGCTTCTTAGTTTAAGAGAACTCGTAGCTTCATTAAAGATAAAGTTAACCATTTCTTTTGCAATGTTCAGACATTGAATGCGCAAATCACAACCATGTAGTAGTTAAAAATGACTTGAATTATATGCACAGAACATTGATGTCAAATTTTCAATTTCCGTAAAATTGTTTAGGTAAATATTGGGAATATATTCTACTCTTAATTTTGCTTTAAGCTGAGTCGTTTCTTTTTTTTTAAACTTTTCATTTTACTGAGTGAAAAGCTTAAAATATGTCACTATCGCACCTAAACTTTTCAATATTTTTAATATACTTTTTAAATATTTTTAAAACATCTAAAATATTACACCCAAACTTGTAGGCATAGAAGTTGGATATCCGGAAAAACTGTAAGTTGAAAAATTTATCGCAATTCCGGAAAGAACTTAGCCCTGCATACGGACCCTATATTATTATATGATAAAGATTATTACTAAACCAACCTTTTTTTTTAATTAGTAATCCAGCAGAAACTTGTTTATAAAAAAACAATAAAGGAATATATCGATTTACTTTATAGCTAACGTATATCAACATGTTTATTTCAGCGTACATCCAATCCATGTTTATACTAATTTTATAAAATATACGGAATACATTTTGCCTTAACTTGGCGTTAAATTATTAGTTTTATTTCATTAATTTTTGTATAGATCAGGTTAATAATAAAAGCAATTGGATTTTACTCAATATTTTTGAAGTAATTATTTAGCTTTAATAAAATTGATAAAACCATATAAGACAATTAAAAAATATATTTAAACCTTTGTTCACTTTTTGAAAATCCGTAAAAAAGCAAGTATCAAGTTTACATATCTTTAAAAGAAATTTATTTACATGATATATAGTTAAATATGTAACAAAAATATTTTAAAACAGAAACATATATAAAATATATTTTTCTTAAAAAAACAAAGTTGAAGCCACCATTTACAGCACCGAGAAGCCAAGCATAGCCTATTGTAAAGAAAACCATATCAAATAATTTAAAATATTTATTACCGATAGGGACGACAATTAAACATATTTAAAAAGCTACGTGATTCCATATTAGTAGGATTGTTTTAGAAAAGTATATTAAAAAAGTATATTTAAAAAGTATATTTGAAAAAAAGTGTATTAAATAGAAAA